CAACTTTGGAACAGAAAATACAAGCCAGGTATACTGATTCCGAAATTTTTGATTTTTCTGGTACTCTAGCTGTTAGCGCAAACGGCATGTCAAGGACTTGTAACTGGTAATAAAAAGTGAGGATAGCTAAATAATTTTTTAATTTTTGGGATATTCTCTTCTTCGTGAATTGTCAAAAATTATTCAAAAACCAACTGGGATACCTGATAGCGATTTATGAATAGGTCATTTTAATCTCTTTAAGTTGTTAATCAAAAAAAGGGGTGAAAATGAAGAATAAAATTCGGAGAGGGATTATTGAAAGAGTAAACAAAATGCAGCAAATAAAATGAACAAAGTAATTGTCCTCACAAGCAAGAAATAATGACTTCGAAATCATCATAAAATTACTGTTTGAACCTATTAAGCAGAAGTATTTTGATATTCTCGGACAACTTCTCTTACAAACTTTTGAATCATTGATAAAATATAGCTTATGTTAAACTTCCTTGGAGGAAAAGAAATATATTATTGGAATTTACTTAGTTGTTTGAAAAAATTCATATACTTTTCATTTGTAAATTTTGGAGTGTTCATGTCTCTTCCATAATATACCTTTCTTTTGTTGCCATCAGCTGTCAACATCATATGATAACATTATCCTAATAGAGCAGAGAGTTATAGGAATGGATTATCTTTATAGAACAGAAGACTTTGTTTCTCATTAAAGTTATCAGTCATTATAATCTTTTCATTTCGAATTTTCTCAACATCTCCGAAAAATTTGCTACACATTTCAACCCATAATTACAAGAAAATATTTTTATAGAACAGAGAAATTCTTTACTGTTGTATAAAGTATCCATTCAATTATTTTAAAGAAATTCATGTTGAGAAGCTTGGAAAATTGAATTTACAAAGCAAAGCATGAGGTGAGATCTTTCGACAATCTATCAATGATGAAATTAACTCTTCCCTGATTCATTCCATTCAATCATACCCAACCAAAATTATGGTAAATGTTATCAAATATATTCCACCTCTACATTTTTCACATTCCACAGGAAGTACCTTTCCTTCTCTCCCATTTCTTTGTTTACTCTTGTCCTATTTTTCACTTCACATTTATTTTTAATCACTACAGCTATAGTGTAAAGTGAATTTATAAATTATTGGAATGACACCAATCATTTTTCTCCTTCTCTTTCTACTTCCTTTCATTTATATCCATTACATAAAATGCCATTCGCATCGTTTGCGTTTTAAAATAACTTGAAAATATTCTTAATTAATCAATTATTGAAACTTGTGCTTACTGAATATCTGCCAATCACTGTACCACTTTCTTAAAAGTTTTTCTTTTCAGCTTGTTTAAGCGCTTCAAATCTTACAGTATTTGTCAATAACCTATAATTGAAGCTTTATAAATTAATAAATGGAATATTGCAGAGTTTTATGAGCTATAAATGAGTTAATGAATATGTAAGTCATAAATGATATATAATTCGAATATGGAAGAAGAATTGATGTAAATTGCATTTTGTGACTTCAGGCATATCCGTTAAACAATAGTAAAAGAAGGTATAATGGTTGGCTGAAGAGAATTAAGCTCAGATTAAATAGAGAAATGTATTGTACATATTGGTTTCTCACAGTTGTTTTCCTCTCTACAAATTTAAACCACTGATAGCTGGCAGCACTTCGAATACCTAACTGCAATAGTAGTAACATTCTTCTGCCTCGCTACAATTATCCCGAAATTTCTTTGCACACTTGCCTTTTTAAACTATTTCTACTTATTTTACCTTTTTTTGGACTCATTGCTGTAAATCATAGAATACCTTTTCCGCCGAAAAATAAAAAAAAAAAAGAAAAATAAAAACCTAAAAATAAAACAGGTTATATTTACATACCTTCCAAATTGCATACACTCCGCATCTTTAAGTTAAACATCCTCAGATTTTAGTTCTTTTGAAGAATTAATTTAGTAAATGGAGCAAAAAGTAGGAGAGAAAATTATTCAGTTATTTTTATTCGTGGCCAATTTTGTTTTAGAGTTTATCTGTCTAGGATGGGTGTCGCATAATTAATTATCTTTATCACTTATGATTATTCCCCGACAACTGATACATCTGTTGTGTCCGTTGAAGTGCGTCATTATATTTCACTAAGAATACTTCGTTTTATCATTGCTATTATTGTTATTGTGCAAAGAAGCAATAAAGCAATGGATGAGTAAATAATAGTAGTAGGAGTGGATAAGATGACATTTATAATACGACTGACTGTTATCGAAGAAATAAATACTTTTTGTAAACATTTACATTTATAAAATCATACTTATAAAATCTGAAAGCTTGAAATCTCTTCTGAACAATGATGGAAATAAGTTAGGTTATTTATCTTTCAGAGAGTATTTGAATTGCAACATTTCTAGAATTACTTGAATCAAAACTATATTCTTTCGAATTTAAATTTAAATACTTTTGATGCAATAGGACTGTTTTTCACTTAATGGCAGTGTCACGAATAAATGGATGGCAGCAGCAAGTCAATAATATGACATGACTCCATGGCTAACTCTTGTAGATTTATTTGTAAAATTGCTTATCCGATGAAATAGACAATTGTTTACTGTGCGTTTTTAAAATTTTGTCTAAATTTTGAAATAGAAAAATTCTTAAATATTTTTTTTAGATAGAAATATCAATTTCATTAATTCTGCAAATTACAAAGATTACTCTGAGAGCAAACGTTTTATAAAATTAAAATTGAAGTCTATGACAATTTTAAACTGTTTGAATTGAAAATTTGGAGATGGAAAATTGAAATTAAAATTGAATACTTTTCATTGTAGCTCGAAATACAATCACGTCTCATACGAAAGAATGATAACAATGCGATGAAACGATCACGTAGTCATCCAGTACATTCACCGATTCATATCGATAGCGACGATGAAAGCGGTGCAATTATTTACGCTTTTAAGAGTTGTTATAAGAGTAGACAACGAAAAGCAACGAAAGCTTGAATTATCAGAATCCATCAGAATCGTAAATTTGAAAAAGGATGTAGAAATAAGTTCAGATTAGAGAAGTGCAATGTTAACTAAGTCAAATTGTATACAGAACAATCAAGCTGTATACGAGGAAGCTAGGTTATGCATAAGAAAGCTAAACCCTATAGCCTCATCTTATCAGTTCATAAGGCCTAGAAAAAACATGAAGTAAAATAATGGAAGATTTCTTCCAGATAGCGGATCAGTAACAGCATCTCATATATCCCGAATGAGTGCATATGCTCTGTTCAGCGAAATTCGTGCCCCAGATACTACCTCTTCAACCAAAGATAATAGCGTTCGTAGTTCTGTACACAGTGCGTCGTCGTCTGTGACCACTTCTAGTACAATGTCTAGTGGTAATGACCAGGTGTTGGAATTTCTGAAAAGATTTTTAAGAAACGAAAACTTTCAATTTAGAAAGGATCTTTCCAATTTGTCGGAACAGATTGATCCAAAAAATTAGTGTAAGCAGAATAGAGTGGGTATGATTGTGTGAAAGTTTAGTAGAACTTAAAGTTTTAATTTCATTCCTGCTGATACTACTATGATGGCTTTTCTACAACTTTATTTATTTCTGCTAAAGTATCAGAGAAATCGTGAATGGAAGTATCAAAATGAGCCTAGAACTACTTATCTGAATTCATTTACATTGAATACTATTATTAGACTATTATTTATTTTCTTTAATAACTTATAATGTCCTTTCAGTTATGGAATGAAATGTTGCAAATTAATTTGGAAATTTTTCAGTGTTTGTTGTCGGCTGAAGCAGTTTGGGATCATGTTGCAATATTGCCTAATGAATTACCATTTGCAATTGGCGATATTATCTCAGTGCTTGATTACTCATCACATGAAGAACTTTGGTACGGCAGTTGTCGCGAAAGGGTTGGATGGTTCCCATCATCTTATGTCAGGGTTAGTTTTTTTCACCCTATCAGACTGTTTTTCACCGGAAGAATTCAGGAATTAAAAGCAGTAGGAAACTTTTTCGAAAATACAGCAAAAAGGCATAGAAAAACAACGTCTAAAGTTAAATACGACATATTTTTATACAAACTAATATTACAATATTTCAGATATTGAGTGGCAATTCATCAACCTCAGGTACTCTTTCATTAAGTTATTTCCCACAGTCGATGAGGTTTTTGCGAGCAAAAATAGTTCAAGAATTAATGCACACTGAACGTGATTATGTCAATTTATTGCAAAATATTGTTCAGGTAAAGATTTTTAGTTTTATCCATTCATTAATACTCCATGACACTACCATGGACTATTATTCTATCGTTAAAGTTAAGCTTAGACTATTTTTTCGGAAATATAGGGATTAAATAGCTGTCAATTTGCAAATTGTTGCTAATCACTTTCCAATGCCGATAATAGCCGTTTTATGATTAGCGTAGTTGTATTGCGTAGTTTAGGTATTTTTGAAATTCCAAAATACTTATTTTTGTAATGATTCTGCAATTTATACACTTCGCATGACACACTTGCAGGGTTTTACGGAACAATGTCGTCGTCGTAATGACTTATTCTCGGCAGCTCGCGTACAACGCCTTTTTGGCAACATTGAATCCATTTATGCTCTACATTGTAAATTCCTTCGAGAGCTTGAATTGGCTTTCAATCAAAATGTTCCCGAAAGCTCTGCTATTGGCGCCATTTTTCTTCGAAACGTTAACTTTCTCATTTATTGTTGAAGACATTAGCAGGCCTAATGACTAAAAAAAAAAAAAAAAAAACAATTTTCAGAAGAATTAAATCATTTCTGAATAATTTATTCATGATTACAGAAGCGGAAATGAAATTAAACTAAAATGAATGGACCGATTTTAAAATGACTTATTTATCTGCGGTGATTGAATGAAATCTTAGTGACTTTTGCTTACCGTTTTCTATCGCTCTCCGAAAATTATTCTGTCTTCTAAGTATTTTGACATACAATATATCAAGATATATTGTTTTCAGCGTTCAAAATTTTCGATTTATTCGGAGTATTGCAATAACCGGCCTGTTTCGAGTGCAGAACTGGTAGCACTCACCGAACAACTTCATTATTATCAATTTTTCGAAGTAATTTGCAAATAATCTTTATAAAACATTGTGTCACTCGGTTGAGAATAACAGAATTTTTTGCAATAATGTCGCTAATGCCCGCCTGATTTGTGTGTCCATTTTAAATCTTTTACATGTATTTCCGGATTTTCTGTCAAAACTCTTTAAGTTCTGGACAAAGAGTACGTTTTACGTTTTCCGTCAAATATTAAATTCGTCGTTTTTATATGATTTTTCTATAGTTTTGTTACAGATACTTTTGCCTTAAATGTGAGAAATTTAGGCGTGTCGACTTCTTCGAGGAATGCCAAAGCTACCTTTAGAGGGATTTTTGTTAGCACCCGTGCAAAGGATATGTCGTTACCCGTTGCAATTATCAGAATTACTGAAAGCAACGCCACTATCACACATCGACAGAGAACCAGTAGAGGTAAGGGAGTTCGAAGATGAATTCGATTGTTTATACAGAATATATGCTAATATTTGGGATTTTCCAAATGGATTGAAGTTTCCATGCAAATATTCCTGAAAGAGAATTCATGTCTAACTACATTTAAAATCGTGCAATTTCCAGGCTGCAGTATCTGCGATGAAGAATGTTGCTGCTACAATAAATGAAAAGAAACGACGATTAGAAGGTCTACAACAGATCGCCTTATGGCAAATGAATGTCGAAGGATGGAGGGTAGATACTATTCTTTCCAAGTATAAACAAAAAGACGTAAAGTGAGGAAGGAAAAAGAATATATCATTCTAAAATCTGTGTTTAACTCTGTAATATTAGCAGTGTTATACAAATTGAAGGAATCGTTGAGAGTTGTTGAGACTGAAAGAAAACTAAGATTGAATTCAGGGCCCAGACCTAGTGGAAACTAACAGTCGAATGATACATGGTGGTGAAGTATACTGTCGCATTGTTATTGGAGGAAATATCATTTGGCATAAAGACGTTTTGCTATTTTTATTTGACCAATCACTGGTAATATGCAAAAAAGATCTCATCAAGCGTAATTTTTATATATTCCGTGACCGGATTTCTCTCGATTCAGTAACATTTCTGAATTGTGATGATGGAAAAGGTTAGTTTCCAGAGAAATGGACATTTCCTTCAAGTAATACTCAACTAACCATATTATTTTCATCCACATTCACCTGCCCATTTTTCTGTTTACTCAATAAATCGGATGTTTATATTCGTTCTGTCGAGTGCTCTATATGAATACGGCTTAAAGTTTGAAGGGATAAAACTTGATTTCATTTCAATTTTTCCAGACCCTACCACGGGTCTAAATCTAAAGAACTCATGGAAATTGATAATGATCGGTAAAGAAGTTGTATTCACTTGTAAGGATCGCAATTCCAAACTGGCTTGGGTAGAGCATTTACAACGACCGTTGATTTATTCGCCAGCATCACCTGAAGAACGGCGACTAATACGCGAAGCAATTTATCGCACTTCAGGTATGGCTTTATTAAAATAAAAAGCAGGGGAATATGAATAGCAGTATACCGGATATTAAATTTTTAATTAAATTAGTAAGGGATGAAATATCTAGAAGTAATGAAGCTTATCAGAAATGCTATCATTAATGTACACAACTACGTGGTGTTGCACAAGTCTAATCAACAACAGCTATATCCCGAAAGATGAAAGCTTTCAAATCGTTCACCTTAAATCCTTGCGACAAACAAATAGTAATAACTTCTCAGTTTGTCTGAAAATCTCAGGAGTATGTTTCACCATGCTTAAATCTCTCTCCCAGGTCACGAAAGAGTGCGACAGGTCTTTTCCCACAAAAAAATGAAAAGCTAAATTTAACAAATTCGGAGAAGTCAGACAGGGTTGCAATGTTAAAATACCAGAACACGAACATTTTACGCTAGACCTAAACTTGTGAGGACCATGATTTCTTCGAAAGTTCTAAGTTTGAAATATTCCAATCGCAGTCAAGAACTTGAAACAAGTGGCGTAAAACTAATACTAATTTCATATACTGGGTGTTCTTAACTGTCCGAAAAGCTTTTCACAGTTTTTCTTTCATCCTTTTTTTCTTTTTTTTTCATTATTTTTTGCCCTTTCATTTCTGTCTTGGCTTTCATGATTTGAACGGGAAAAAGCAGAACTATGTTAGTTTTAGACAGGAAATTGATACGGAATCAGATGGATGGTAAGATCACCGGCCGATTTGCTTGGAAAAAAACAAAAAATTGATTGGAGATTTGCTATTCCGTTATCATTCATTAATAGTTCCTAAACACCTTCTAATCAAAATTAAATTTCTAAAATAAATCAAAATCTCCAGTAATTTGTTGAATTATGGGAACTTTGAAACTACCTTTGTATCAATATCAAATACATGTTAACAAAGTTAAATTCTTGTTTGAACTGCAAAATATAATTTGTTGAATTATGAAAACTTCGAAACTTGCATAAACCTTTGTATCAATATCAAATACATGTTAACAAAGCTAAATTCTTATTTGACCTCCAAAATCATGCTTCTTTCACAGCGCATAGAACTGACTCTAGTTCACGGTACGACTCAAATCCATGCCAATTTGACTTGACTCTCTACTTCTGATCTTTGGGTATCTATTTATCAGGGTTACCATTCGTCTTTCTTTGCTGTTGTCTTTCTTTTTCATTTTATCTATGTTGGCAAAGTAATCCGAGCCAAACTATATGTTCTTTCTGTATCTAAAATGGACTCGAAAATAAGAGTTATCCATTCTATTCTATCCTAACATTCAAAAGTATTAAATTACTTGCCTTTTGCTTTTGCTCACTTTGGTGGATATGGAAGCAAAAGGATTCGGTACTTTCTGTTCTTTCTTGTTCAAGTCAAGTTTGAGATTAATTTGTTCGATTTGTTTTCACCTTATTATACACTTTTTTTTTTTTGTAACGCCTTTATCGACATGATTTGTTAAGTGATTTGTCACTAATGCATTTGTTAGGTTCTTATATTTTTGAAATGTCGAAATGAAGTCGAGGAATTAAGATCGAAGTTTGCAAAAATTAGGCGCAAAAAAGTTCTAACATCAGGAATTTTGCCAGCATTACCCAAAACAAAAATCAATCTCCCAAAACAAAATCAATCTCTATTTCAGTCCAGTGACTCTTTGTTTTCGAAAATTTTTTTTGGAATTTTGGAATTCAAGATTCAATCACATAACTGAAAGTGAATGAAAGGCCAAATTAAGTAAATGTTTTCATTTCATCACATGGAAGAAGGCTTTCAGTGAGTCCCAGTAGACAAAACATGAGGAACAAAAACAAAAATGAAACAAAAATGACTGACTTTGGAAATTATGATTAGAAAGGTACAAGCATATTTTGCTGGTGGAAAGACAAACAGTGTTCCTATTGTCCGTCTTCAGTTGGACAAGAAGTTGAAAAACTAGCCTGCTCAGAAAAAAGAAAAAGAATGGGAAAAGCCTCGATGTGAACTAAAGAAGTTCATCACATTTTCGGAAATACTATAAAACAAAGAGAACGTCAGACAAAGCAAACAGTAAAGACCTGTCGACAATGGATCAAAACTGTGGCTCAAATAGGAAATGTGTAATCTTACTCCCGAAAACTGAAAACCGGTCATTCAAGTCATCGACTTGAAAAAACTTTCAAAGTGGAATGAAAGTTAGTTAACAATTTATCGTTCTGGAGGCGATGACGTTTCTCCAAGTTGTTCCAGGATTTCTTTCCTGTAATCCTCGAAGTCGCCATCAATTTCAGCAACGCCCTGTAATTTAAACTTGGTAGTAAACCGACGAATATTTAAATATCTAGCTTAAATCTTGCATTGAAGTAAGCAATCGTGAAGAGACAACTGGTTCATACATTTTAAAATATCATTCCGAATATCAGAACATCTGGACATAATATATCACTTCAAAATACCAGAAAGATGGACAACTGAATGGAGAAGGTAAAGATCCACAACGAACCAAGTTTTCGACAATCCATAACTGGCAATTTGTTTCCCTGATCAAACGTTCATCGTGAGTAACCATTATGACACCACCACCAAAGTTTTCAATTGCTTCTGCTAATGCATGGATTGATTCAATATCCAGATTATTTGTAGGTTCGTCCTGGAAGAGGACTTTTTTTCCATAGTAATGCGGAAACAGTACTTAAGGAACAATACAAAAATAAAGAGATCTCTATAGACCATAAAATAATCACTGTATTTTCATCGTTTACAAATTTTATTATCTGTATCCGTTAAATGGAGCAAAGAGGATGGAAGGAGAGCACTGCTTCAAGAAGAGCAAAACTACGGAAAGGAAAGCGGTATAAAAAGTAGTGGTGACAAGGCTCATTCTTATTAGCGTATTTGTATCACATTAAGCTGTTAAACACTACAGACAACCAAAGTTGGTGTAGGAGCAGGATTTCGAAGTTAGTCATTCTGTAATTATTAGTGTTATTGAGCAAAAAACAGTGGAGTGATAGGATTGGGCCCGTTCAAACAACAAATATCAACCATTTACGATTACCAAAAACATTAGTCTTCCTGTGTTTTGCATTCTATTCAATAATAACAATACGATTTTCTTTTACAAAACAAAAAAAGATAAACAATACAAAAAAAGATTACCAATATCAGCACATCTGGAGCTCCCAAAGCCAATTCAGCAAGAGCAACACGAGATTTTTGTCCACCAGATAAATCTTTTATCTTTATGGTGTGTGTGGAGCCAGGAAGACCTACTGTACCCAATCGTTTTCTCGCATCCTGCAATGAATACATATTGCTTCTGAACATAAAGATGGATAATTTAAAAATATGTCAGACTCACGGTAGAGATGAATACTTTTTAAATCTTCCGCAAAAAAAACTTAACCTGATAGTCAATTCGAAATTTGGTGAAAAGATATTCGATTGGAGTTTGTTCGCCATTCAATACTTCGTTCGCATGCTGATCGAACCATCCTATGCGTAGCTGTCTGTGCTTCCGGACCTCACCTTGTTGCTAAATTCAAAACATTTTATTGAAGAAAAAACTACCAATGACTTCGACCAGGTTTCTTTGAATAATTATTGAGTCCTCTTCGGTTATCATATGAACATTAAATCCTAATAGCACTGTTGTTTAAAATTTACAGCAATATTAAAGAATTTTTACTTACTGGCTCGATTTTGCCTGCCAATAACTTCATTAATGTTGATTTCCCAACACCATTGGGCCCCACAAATGCAATACGAGAATCCATATCTACACCAAAGTCAAGGTTTTTAAATAACACTTGGTCTTTGTAACCAAAAGTTACACCTGTAAAGAACTGAGTTGAAAAAAGATCAACAAAGAAAGAATGGCAAAAAATGGCAAACATTACAACAGAGTTTTTTACTACAATACTATCAATTTTTTTTTTACCAAATCCACAAAGCCAATGGAAAATTTGTACTATTTATTGAAAACGTTACCGTGTAATCCAAGCACTGGAGGTGGCAATTTTGTAGGGTCCGGAAAAGCAAATTTCACATTATATTCTTTAATTCTTTGTAGCAATTCTACTGGTGCTGCATCAGCTAAAACAAACACCACGCGCCGGAATGCATTACTGAGCATTCAAATGATATTCAATAGATTCATTAAACAACCAAATAATGAGAAAGTTAACATCGTGAATCTTTTTTCCTGATCTAACCGGAAGCTAGTGGAAGCACCTCGCGAAAATTACCTTCACATGCCATAATGGTGGAGCCTTTCTTGCCTTTGGTAACTTTATTTTGCTTGTTTTGCAATCGGTTTTTTATTTCTTCAACAGCTTGTTTCGAACTTTTGCCACTTTTCTTCATTGCAGCTAATTGTTTTTGTTGAGTTTCGAAAGCCTTCATGTGTTCCCTCATCTTCTGATCTTTCATTTTCTTGAAAGCAGCTAAAAAATATTTCGAAAATTAAACTAGAATTTCTTTTTGACTGGCCACACAAAATGTCTTGCAAAATTTGTAGTAGAGCTTTTTTGCCTGTCCTGCATCGGTTTTATATAGCTACTTTAACAGCTTATTTTGAACTTTTTCTACTTTTTCCATTGCAGCTAGTTGCTAACGGCATAGTCTGCACAGAAAGTGCAGAGAAGCCTGTGATAGCTGAACTGAACTTCCAGAACTTACAATAATTCCCTTTATAGTAATACAATTTCTGATCCTGCAAATCGATAATATCTGTACACACACTGTCTAGAAAACCTTGGTCATGTGAGACAATCAATAAGGTTTTCTTCCACGTTTGCAAATAACTGCAATAAAAGATTTTCGACAGTGAATTTGGAGTTCAATTCAATTTAAACATATTTGAAAGTCATTATTTAAGATTAATTTGAAGCCAACAAAGTGTAGAACAAGTGAACTTATTAATTAGTGAAGAAGAATTTGTGAAAATTTTAAACTAACTTATCGAGCCAAATGACCGCATTCAGATCAAGATGATTGGTTGGCTCATCGAGCATCAACAACGTCGGTTCCAAAAAAAGAGCTCGAGCTAATGAAATACGCATACGCCAACCACCCGAAAATGCTTCAACTGGCTAAAAAAGTTAAAATGTAGGTTTGATTAAAGACTTATGACATAGTGTATCAGATGATAAAAAAGAACAGACTTTTTCTTGCATAGTTTTTGTGAAGCCGAGACCAGCCAATATACGGCGCGCTTTTGGTTCAGCTGCGTCTGCATTTATATTCTTTAGTTCATCAGTGACCTGGCATATTTTGCATTCTGGAGACTTTTTAATAAAAATTGATATTACAACTATTTTGGTAAAAATTGGGATTTCAATCATTTTATCTGCATTCCTACTAATTATAATAAATTATTCGCGCTGCATTCCTAATTGCAGCTTCAAATTCACTTTCAAAAATTGCACCTCTCTCAGATGTTCGCCAACCGAAATGTCGCCTTCTTCTAGCTTCTTTATCAACTGTGCCTCCTCTTCCATTAAAGCAAGGCGTTGTTTGTCTGATTTGACAACAGCATCAATAGCTAGGGTATGGTCAGCTTCAATTTCTGAAATATACGGAACTAATCAATAGTATGCAAACTTGATAAAATCCCCACGGAAACAAAATCTGAAGTAACAAGAACTTCATCAGTACTAAATTTATTTTATAACACACCTTGTTCGCAATAAAGAAGGTCAATATTTGGTGGAATATCCAATCTTCTGGCAGCAATATGTTTTAAAAGTGTAGTTTTGCCCATTCTGTAAAGTAGTAAAATAGTTATACTAGGGTGAAAAATATGAAAAACCATAGACTTTTGAAAACTTTGAAAACTTTTACGGCATACCCATTTGGGCCAACGAGACCGTAATGCCTTCCGAAAGCTATTGTTAACTCAGCTTTGTGAAACAAAACTCGTCCTTGAGCTGCAATATCAAAGTTTTCTACCTGCAACGGACGTTTACCTTAAAATCAGTGACCACAGTTACCTACTGCAATGAAATTTATATGCTACTTTTGTGTATCTTTTATTTTGTACATCTTTTATGCAAAGTTGTAGAATGTGAGGATATAAGGAATAAAAGTTTCAGGTCAGGAATAAAAATTTAAAACCAATAGATTAAAGTGAAAGTGCGTGATTTTCTTGTGTGAAAATCCTAAAGCTCTGCAAAATAACCTCTTAATTTAAGCAGAAAACGAAAAATTGAATGCTTTCCTTGAGATACTTCTCCTTTTTTCTTTTTTACCTTAATACCCTCAAACCTTAAAATCTTTTTTTTACCTTAATGTCGACAGCATTTTCAAGCTGATTCCGTTGTCCGGTGGACTTCGCTTGCTGCGAAACGGAAAACTGCTGTCCAAGTTCAGCACCTGACCCAATCCCACCATTGTCTAAACATTAGAATATACAAAAACAAATAGCAAATAAAAATTAATACCAAGTGCAAGTCTGTTCAGTGTTTAGATTTCAATAAATTATACACTTCAAAAATATCGGATCTTCCATTACCCTGGTTTAAACAGTATGTCGTGAAAATATTGTACATCGTATGGATGAAAAGTATGAAAAGACAACCCTTCTTTTCAACTGCTTCTTTTTCCTTCCGATTTTCAACTGCACCACCCATTTCTTTAATCTCACGCTCATACTCCGCCTTCTTCTGCAGCTTTTTCAATTCTTTTCTACTAAGCTTCTTCTCAATCTTCTCATCTGAAATGAATAACCTGAATATTGACAATAGTAATCGTAATCTACTCTAAGACGCATCAGAAAGATAAATTACAGACAAATGAAATTACAAAATAAAAGTGGACTAATATGAAAGTAAAAGGAATCAAAACTTCCTTGTATTTATAATGAATCATTTCTCTAGCAAACACACCATAGCTCTCCCATGTCGATAAGAGTTCTATGTAAGCAGACAAAAATTTACCACTTGACATGACTGCCACTGCACCGTTCGTGCAATTTTCCTTAGACATTATTGTCGGCAAATTATCGGAGCCTAAAAACAAAGCTCTCTGCTACCTGAAATCAACTAATTTACTAGGACACACGAATCTCATCTGAAGCCTACTGTTTTATTATAAAAATAGGAAAGATCAGGGATTCCACCTCAGAAAGCTGATCCATTTCTGCACATAAACGGGATTACTTCAGGATCAAATGAAAACGCAAATAATACCAAAAAGTAAGCACACTTGCAAGGATTTTCAGAAGAATGTTATGGTAACATGCGCATAAACGAAGCAAAATGAGTGCAAAAGACTAAAACCGTTATTCTGCAAATGTAATTCAACACTATTCATAAGTCAAAAAACAAAACATAATATTCGGAAAATTATACATAAGTATCCCATACATATCTAATATATTTACAATAAAATCAACAGTAACAAGAACAATAACAATTAAATTTGACTCCTGCGATAAAACTTCTATAATAAGACTGCTACAACAGAGCTGTCTTTATCCACTGCAGTAAAGAAGCATTATGAAGCATCAATCGATTAATTTCTTCCCAACTCTTCTTCAGTTCATCAGCTAATTTGCCCAATGTTTTGTCCAAATCATCATCTTTACCACAGCTAACCCACAGCTTATTCCGATTGATTTTCAAGAAAGTGGCTAAGTAGGCTTGGACAAGTTCAAAATCACAATGGTTCCTGAGAACTGTGAGAAGCATTTTCAAAAAACTGCTCACAGCCTGAAATGAAATTCACTGCTCTGAAGGTACAATCCCTTTTAACACGAAGTTACAATCTTTACACTTATCCCGAATCTAAAATTCCTACTGGAACCTGCATTTAACTGGTTTAATTTAAATTTCAAATGGTGGAGTATGCATGAGGCCCTGAAAATAAGTGAGTTATTCAAATTTGCAGAATCAAAAAAAGGGCAAAAAATCATAACTCACTCTTTCCGGCAGTATGTGAATTTGGAAATCTATCGTGGAGATACTCATCCACTTCAAAGATTCAAATGCAGTGATGAAATCAGCATCGTCTGAAGCCCTGCAAATAAGCAGATTTGCTTGAGCTTCTGCTTACTCATTGGTTTCTTAAAACCAGTTTGATAAAACATGATGTAATCCTCATGAAAAGTCAATCTAATATATCGAATAGAAAAATGAAGCACTTAAATACAAAAAATTCTCGAAAAATAGAAAGATTTTACTGTAATAAAGTTTGTGCGAAAGAAGATTCAATTTCCAGGACACTTCGTTTCGCCATTAATACATTGCGTCGCTCCACATCATCGTCACCAACGTTCACCTTTTCAAACTCGAAACCATCAAGTGTTGACATTGCTGGTAAGAAAAACGGTGCAGTTTTTGGTTTTCGCGCTGGTTCGATTGGTTTATTTCGTTCTCGAATTACATCTAGATATGGCAAATTCACCCAGCGTGAAGGTGCCAAACCCGATAAAGTTACAAGGCCTTCGACCTTAATTAATTTGTTATGACATACACTGAAAAAACAATACTTTCTCTCATTTTTCACTTTAAATTTGTGAAAATCAACCTAACCCAGAAAACTTCAATGGAATTTTAAAACCTGAAATAATGCGAGAATCAAAAAGTACAGTACCAGCACATCAGAAAATACCAATTTTCGTTCACAAAATACTGAATTTTTTTAAAACTCAACATTACCTGCTTCACTTTCTGTATATTTTCACATGCAATTTCCATAGGCACTTCAACCTCTTCTACTGAACACTGCACTTCATTCTCCAAATTTCTAAAGAGAAACTTTTGTGACGCACATTTAAAACTGTTCTGCTTCAATGATTCCGTAACACAGTGCTATTCAAAAATATTTACAACTGAAGATTAAACTACCCATTTTCTTCTTCTGCAACAATATTTTATGCTTCGAATTTTACTAGATAGTGATTATTCTTCATTTCGTTTTGTTCACGATTACACAAATTCTACTTCTGGTGTTTACTCGATAATAAGCATACCTTAGCACGGGTAGAGCTAAAGAATCCTCGGGAACGTAATCCAATGGTAGTGCTTTCAAAGCATTCACAGGAGTGAACCATACTTTATTAGCCCAAATATATATGCTCTTTTGTCCATGGTGACATGTAGCCAAATATTCTCCATTTGGTGAGAAGCAAAATGATATGCAATGCAATTCACACTTGATAACATCAATAAGGCTATTCGTAACAAGATCCCAAATCTAGAACATGATAACTGATAGTTGCAGTAAGACAAATTTATGCCTTTTATAAAAACATATTTCGAACATTCAAAATAAAGTACAAAAATGAAAGCATTAGAAAAACAAAGGAAAAACACGAACTTTAATTAAACCCTCGTCATCAGCACTGACAAGCCATTTACCATCAGGTGAAAATCCCAAAGCAGTAAGCGATGATCGATGGGCTCCATCAATGATCCTTACAACTTTTCGGCACAAAATGTCTACAATGCCGATTGCACCACTTCCTACACCTATAGCTAACAGTGAATTACTGTTACTCATGCTAAATCGTACAACTGGTGATGGAACTTGCATTTCAGCTACCAACTTCGTGTTGCGGAAATCCCAAAATCGAATAAATCCATCATGTTCAGCTGAGACCTCAAATATAAAAACTTATTTCGAATAATAAATTAGGTGTCACATGCATTACTACATCGTTTTAGCAATCGGATAGAAAAGTACGAAACTGTTGGAAAAATTCCGAAAGTCATGACGCGAAATTGCAGCAATAAAAAGAAGAAGGTCCTGAGCGCCAAATCATTTTCCAAAGATGTGTTCCAACAGGTCGGTTGGGAAGACAATAACGGACGTCATTTGGTCTTTGGTTCCCCCCCCCCTTTGTTCATATTGATATTATAATTGTTGAATTCATTTCTGTATTACCGAGTTCTGAGGAATAAAGGTCTAATTACTCAAGTTTCAGATAGAGAAACTCGGCGACAAAAAACTGGTGCCACGGGCCGGGAATGTCGGACACTACAACCAAAAGTGCTCAACCGGCAAGGTAAAAGTTGAAGAATCTTCTCGACGAAGCAAAAACAATGGACATAACGCCTCCTGATCAACATTTATCGGTGGAGGAAAAGCGGCAGCAATTTGAACTCAAGAGGAGGACCATAGAAGAAAAAATAAGGCGTCTAAAACTCTATGTTGGTACACTCGGATCAACCAACGAAAAGTGGTTGGAGTATATCAGAAACAAAAGACTGCGCAGAAAAGAAAGGAAGAAGACAAATACGCAGATATGGTCGACGATAATAAAGGTCTTTTAAATTTAATAAATGACGGTCAAGAAGCTATTATAACTCTAGATATGTACAAGGATGAGTTTAAGCTAGCGGTACAGCGCCTACAGCAAAGCAATACAAATAACGAACCATTTCAACGAAAGAAGCCCTCCCAAATATCTCAGCAGACAGTAAATTTGCCACAGTTACCACTACCAACATTCAGTGGTGACCCGAAATTATGGAGAGAATTCTGCGGTAGTTTTGATGCCACAGTGCATCTTCAAAAAATACCCGATATTCAAAAATTAAATTATCTGATCGCATATCTCAAAGGAAATGCTCTACAAGCTGCCAAAGGCTGCAAAAGCTACACCAATAACCTCAGCCGTATCATGCATGGCTAGCGTAACGAACCACAATGACATCGACCACTTTTGGAAGCTAGAAGTGATGGGTATCCAAGACCAGCCGAACGAAAACGATAATGAGCAAGCCTTTTAGTAATTTAAGAAAAGTATAACGAAACAAGATGGGAGATACCAAGTTTGCTGGCCTTGGAAAGATTCAAAAGATAAACTAAAAAGCCATTATGGACTATGCTTAGGACGTCTTAAAACCTTGATCAGAAGACTTCAGAACAACGAAGAGATACCTCAATGGTACAACGAAACGATTAAGGATCAACTGTAATAAGGCATAATTGAGGAAGTGCATCCTGATATGGATCAAGAGGGTATAATTGCTATCTAACTCACCATGAGGTAATATCCCCGCACAAACCTATAACAAAACTCAGGAGAAGTCCATGATGCTTCGACGCACCTCAAGGGAACAAGAAGTTTAAGCGAAGTCCTATACCGCGGACCTATCATGCTTCCAGATTTAGTAGGAATACTATTGCGCTTTCGAATGATGAAGAATGTAATCATAGCCGACGTCGAAAAGGCATTTTTACAATTGGAACTGCATCAGTCCGACAGGAGCTGTACCAGATTCCTCTGGGTAAATGATATTAAATGTGCGGTTATCGAGGAAAACCTGAAATGTTATCGTTTTCGAAGACTTCTTGGAGTAATATCATCACCGTTTTTGCTAGCAGCAACACTCAATCATCATCTAGAAACGATCGGAAACCAGACAGAATTAGAGATCAGGAGGAATTTATATGTAGATAACGTCATGTTGTCAGCAAAGGGAACAAGGGAAGCTATAAATAAATATCTCGAAGTGAAGGATATCTTTAAGAAGGCGGCGATGAATATTCGAGAATTTCTTTCCAATGACCAAAACGGGACAAGACAAATATCAATATCGGGACAAGACAGAACCGAAGGAGGTGCAGTAAAAATTCTTGGCATCACTTGGATAAATGATAAAATACAATCAGAGTAACGCTGAAACTATGGATCGAATATGAACTCACCAAACGAAGTATCTTGCAATTTGTTGCTTCGCAATATGATCCTTTGGGATTTTTAGTTCCCGCAATGATCCAGTTCAAACTATTTCTTCAAAATTTATGGAAAAGAAATAATTCTTGGGACCAAACCCTCGATGAGGATGATAAAGCATGACGATCTCTTACAAAGGAATGGCCCGCAGATATTATCAAGATACCAAGGTTGGTTACAAAAATGCTCTCAGATTAACAAAAATGCTTCACAGACGCATCAAGTGTTCTGTATTCAGAAGCTGTATACATTTTAAACAAACATGTCAACGAAAGGAACAGCGCAATACTTTTCGCCAAATCAAGACTCGCTCCAATCAAAGGTATGAGTAAACCACGATTGGAAGTGCTAACAATACTTACTGGTGTACGAGTGCCAATTTTGTTATAAAGCAATTAAGTCTGGGAAAAACCCCAGTAATGTTAAGGTCGGATTCAAAAGGCGCGTTACATTGGATCCAAAATCGACCGAAATTACTACCCAAATTCACACAAAACCGAGTAGAAGAAATAAGAAAGGTAAACTTCTCATTTCGACATGTACCAAGTGAAGATAATTCAGCCGATATTGCAACTAAAGGATTTTTTCCCATAAAGCTTAGACAATACAAGCTATGGTGGAAAGAACCGTCGTGGTTAACGGGTACCAAAAGCGGATGGCCCCAATGGGAATATCAGTCCATAGAATTTAAAGATGAAGAACGAATCGTTGCAAAGGTCGCCTCTTAAACAATCGAGGTAGCACAATTTTCTCTTATAGATGGAAGTCGGTTCAGCAAGTGGTTCAGACTTGTAAGAACCACCATTTGGGCCTCAAATTTATTAAACTCACGACAAAGGGTAAGATAGCATGGATACAACCGATGTCGGCAGAAGTGAAAGGACTAACGTCGGAGGACTTTAACTTACCCAAATGGGTGGTAATTAGACAAACGCAGAAAGAAAGACTCAATGAGGAAGAAAAGGAAAAATGAAATTTATACTGCGATGACAGAAAGCTATGCAGATCACAAAGTCGATTGGAAAATTCGGAACTAGACGAGGAAAGCAAACATTCAATCTATTTACCGAGGCATAATGTGGTTACCGAACTTTTGATTCGACAACAACATGAAAAGCTACATCACGCTGAAACAGTACATGTTCTTTCGGAAATTAGGCGCAAATTTTGGATACCGAAAGGACGAATGGAGGTAAGACGTGTTATAGCAGGTTGCACGGGTTGCAAACGTTGGACAGCTAAGCCATTTAAACCACCAGCTATGCCGAATCTTCCTGAATCACGAGTTTTACGTTCAAGAAGCTTTGCAAAAATCGGATTGGATTATTTTGGCTCGATCTCCATCAAAACCGAAGTTGGAGTAACCAAAAGATGGGTTGCCCTATTCATATGTTTCACAACAAGAGCAATTCACCTTGAGATTGTAATTTGTTAGTTGAAAGTTTTCTACAGGTGCTAAGGAGATTCATTTCTCGACGTGGCTATCCGGGACGAGTTTTGAGCGACAATGCAAGCCAATTCCAAGTAGTTTTCAAAGCCATAAAGAAGCAGGAACACATCAGAATAGGTGAATTCCTGGCAGAAAAGGGAATGGTTTGGGAAAATATAACAGCGAGTGCTTCCTGGACTGGCGGACTCTACGAGCGACTGATAGGACTGACCAAAAAGGCTATAAGAGCTATTAGAAGAAAACTGTTACGGGGAAAGAGAACTTATGACGTTGATCGTGGAGATACGAAAATGTACTGAATACCCGGCCGTTGACTTATGCTAACTTCGATGACTGTAAGATAATATGCCCAATCGATTTTATACATCCTAGTGCTTCTTCAATTATTCAAACAGTTGATGACGAACAGAACGAATTCAAACCAGAAAACTTCGATACAAGGGAACGAATGATCAAGTACTGGTTGGGAACGCTTAAAGTACTCGATATATTTTGGGAAACATGGAGAAAGGACTACTTAACGAGCCTCAGGAAAGAATTCAAAAAGAACACGTAAATCCTAAAGGCACAGAGGATCGTAAGCCAAGAGAGGACGAAATTGTGTTAGTATATGAACCAGAAACGCCTCGAGGCTTGTGGAAGTTGGGAAGGATAGAAGAACTCAGAAAAGGTAGAGACGGAGTGACAGGAAGCGCACTGGTAGAAATGCCCAACGGGAAACTTCTCAGTAGACCAGTAAATGTACTGTACCCCCTGGAAATAGTTGTTGAAGGAAGTTCGAGAATTCAACCGACAGCTTTTAAAAAACCACTGGAAAACCCAGATCAACAAGAAGAATCTACAGCCTCAGGAACTAGGAATGCTACTCAACGAAATTTAAACACCGAAATTTTGAATTCAAACCGAAAATCAAAAAAAAAATACACCAATATTATAACTCCTAAGGGCAATATTCCTCTTCAGTCGGGAATGTCGGAAAAACTTCGAAAGTCATCAGGCGAAAGTCATCAGGCGAAATTGCAGCAATAAAAAGAAGGTCCTGAGCGCCAAATCATTTTCGAAAGACGTGTTCCAACAGGTCGGTTGGGAAGACAATAACGGGCGTCATTTGGCTTTGATCCCCCCTTTGTTCATATTGATATTATAATTGTTGAATTCGTTTCTGTATCACCGAGTTTTGAGGAACAAAGGTTTAATTACCCAAGTCTGAGATTAAGAAATTCGGCGACAGAAACAACTATGGGCAGATATGGTAGTTCTGCGTTTATCTGGGAAATATTTTCAGTTTTTGGTAAAACTACACCAGTAATAACCAAAATCATCACTTACCAGCTGCCTATTGAGTATGTCAAGTGCCAGTCCTCGAACGGCAGACTGGTGAGCTTTTTCGTCTTTTTTACTGCAAAGGAAAGTTTTCTTGTGATGTCCACTTTGCAAATTGAAGCAGTCAATGTGGCCAGTTGTGTATCCAACTAAACCGAAATTACCACAAGATGAGATACATATCGCTGATGCGCAAGCAAATACGAGATGTGGTTTAGTCACGAACCTCTTATGAAGCAACTAAAAAAAATAAATTTTAGAAGAGCTATTTTGGATTTATATTTTGGATGTTTGGCTTAAAATCAACGCTTCCTGTAGAAACATTTAAAAATGATAAATTTCGAAGTTAAATTATGTGAAGTGAATAATTTGCAACATTACGTAAAACGCCAAAAATGAATACTAAAACTTCAAGCGGACGAACGCGATATGTTCCAAGAGTTTGTTTTCTTGTGGTCCATGTCGTCACCGGGGCTGTATCAATATGACGGCACATAACGTTGTCCCAAGCTGCTTCCCTCGCTAATCCCACATCCATTTCAATCACTGGCTTCAACTTAATACTCTCAATATCACGCTTCTTCTTCTTTGCTTTCATTCTGAAGAATCAGAAGGGATATATTAAAAAACGTGGAAGGATACAATGGGTCAGGTAATGAACAAAATTTAAAAACAAATGGAACACAATAAGTATAAGAATGAAACGCAAGCTAAAAATAAACAGAAATTACCTGGACATAGTACCAGCATTTCCTAATTTCTGTCTGTGTGTGTCACGTGATACAGAGAATGCCCTTACAGAACCATCCAAACCAGATGAAAGAATACTGAAATTCCCTGACTTTATCAATTATAGAAATTTGATCGACTTAAAAAACTTCATTTTTATACGAAGGTTTTGCAGAGCAAAATCTTTATGAAAAAATTATAGTTATAAAGTAAAAAACAAAACTGATTCCTACTAAAAACATAAATCATGAGACCAATGATATATTTGGTGAAATAAATTGCGAGTATCTTCTTTCCGTTTAAAAAGAAGCAGGTAAAAATATAAAATAAAAAAATATTATGTGCGAATTATAACATTAGAAGCTCACATTTCGCTATCAATAAATTTTGCCGCGGTAACTGGTTTCTGATGTCCATCGCGCAAAACCAATTGCCTCGGCATGCCATCACCCATGTCGTTAATCCATGTTTTTAAAGTATTATCAACTCCTGCTGAAATCATCAACGGTTCTCCATTAATGTAATATATACCCGTGATGGAGCCACGATGCGCATCAGGCAACTGTCCCACTAGGGAACGTTTGTTTAAATTCCAGATTGCCAGTGTTCCATTCTCTGATGCTGTAGTCATTGTCTCTTCACCATCTGTTCTGAAATCCCAAAATTAAAAAAAAAATTTAGACAGAAACCTCACAATTGAAACTTGAAAAGATTATTCGTACACAGCAAATCTGATGATGCATATAGAATTTTGTGTTGAAAGGGAAGTAGAATGTCGAACTGGAAAGATTCTGGAGGGAGCACAAGTACTCCTGCAAATCAAAAATAACAAAATTCGAAAAGAAGACCTAAACGCAATTGATGTTACTGGTGCATCCTGCATGTACATTTGTAATGTTTCGTCAAATTTAATGTTATGCAGTATAATCTGACCATTTCTTAATCCAACAGCGACGATATCTATGGCTGGTGATTGTTCCAGAACTGCTATTTCCGATTCGAACAATTTCCCAAATTCATGAATTAGTTTGCCAGTTTTGATATTAATAATACGTAATGTCCCTTAAGATAGGTTGTTCGATTAAATCAAATTAGGGAGGTTAAAAATTATTCAACGTGGTTTCAAATCTATGACATCCTCACTGGAGATCCTTTTTTTTTAATGTAATTTGATCAAGATAACCACTGAACCCACTACAGAACTCGAATCAACCTTGTCTGGATCCCAGCAGCACTTTGTTAAGATAAGTAGCTGGATGAGTAATTGCTGAACAATCGAACTGTCCGGATGTTTCAATCAACACCAATTCGTCACCAGTTTCAACATCCACCACATGGATCGAATTTTCCGTGTCCACAACCACCAGAACGTCGCCAAACGGAAGAAGCCAACGTACAATATTAGGTACCTCTAACCATCGTTTAACTTGCCTAAAATAAAATCCTGCCCATCCAAACTTTCCAAATAAATAGTGGGGATGAGAATTTAAGGAACAAAACAAGCCAAAAAATTTGAAGTCTATGCACAAACAATCCTCTCTTGGAAAATAAATATTTTAACGCCTAACTTTTGCGTACAGCTGCCTGCACTCGATTAAAGTAAATCTCGGTAAATAAAATACTGCAATGGAACTTGAGTTCAAATACCTGGCTAAATATAAAATGGCTATTCTTGTGCCAATGGCGGCGTAAATATAGCGAGAATCGGCAGCAACTATGTTGATTTGAGCTGGCAGAACATTGCTCACGGATATCACACGTAAATTTTCGCAAAGGTACTGTATCACAACATTGCCGACAGCACAGATAACATAACTTTCGTTTCGTTTCCTTGGAAGTACCCGGAAAGCAGGTGGAACAGATGAACAAACCTCACCGAGTGCTTTGTATGGTACAAATAAGCGGTTCTGTTGACGTTCCATTAAAAATGACCTGCAATCAAAAAATCGGACGGAGAAGCACGGAAGCCAGCTTCACTAAGTCACGCTAAGTACATTCCAATTTTACAACCACGGACCATCAAAAACTCCTATGCTTGAAAGAAACCGCCTTTGAACTCTTGTTCTCAGTTTAGTTTGCCAATTGTGACGTAATCTCGATAGATTACTATGATAGGAGTGTATCGTAATGATCGCGGATAACATGAAAAATGAATCCTATTTTTATCAAAAGGTCAGTGGTAAGTGTGAGGAACGTGGGAATGGCGAGAGGAGTCTTCCATTGCAAAGGGACACGAAAACATAAAAATTATGTCTAGAAGACGTAATTAGAACTTATCGTTTTTTAATAAATAAAGTGGTCTGAGAAGATTAACTTTTGCTGAAAGCAGGTCCTAATATTTTTCTTCGGGTTGTTGTAAAGAAACAGGGTGACAGATCTTCTCTAAAAGATATCCTTTGCTTCTTTACGAGCTAGATTGACTCTAGTCTTCAAGAACAAAACAATTTCTGTACTTGATCACGACATTCTGATATTATATTGGCGATAGTGAACAATTCCAAGGTTTTATGTTTTCATTCGTTCAGTTTACCGTTCAAGTTCCGAAGAATTAACATGAATTCTAAAAATCGAACTTGACTGATGCGAATGATTCTTGATAATCATATGGCTGATGAGCATCATAGCAATTTCATTCTTCATTAGTTTGGACAGATTAAACACTGAACTTTTTCTTGTATTTATAATGAATCATTTCTCTGGCAAACATTTGGGTTTAAGCAACTTTTATACTATAATTTTATATTTTATGGATTTAATTCAGTTATTCCGAGATATTTCTATAGCAAGAAACTTTGATTATATCGATATATTTCTATATTACAAAAATATTTCGATCTTGTCGACAGTGCTTACTGTAGAACTTACGGATTAGCAGCGTTATGGAATCACTAGGTTGTTCAATTCCAAAAGAAGTCGAGCTGTTTTTAGTTCGAAGGAAATTCTTATAGGATCGTATTTGATCATTTATGTATTGCAGTATAGTGAAATGATTGATGAAATCATGTATAGAGACATTCATTAGAAGTACTTTATTTGCTGGAAGCTGTTGTCCAAACTGGTCAAATTGGTAGTAGGCAGTCATTTGTAAACAAATCTTCCCCCCAAAACCTTCACTGACCAAAGAGCTCCCTGAAAAAGAGAAAATATCCGATGCGATAGGTCAATAGGTAGTCCAAAGCAAATAGTCATCCTTCGCTTTGTTGTAGTTATCTCGTTCTAGTACTTTTCAGTTAGCAAATTTCTTTTAAAACTTATCGTTCCATGTCAGACCCCTTCAAATTCTTCAAAACTATCTTTTCCCGTTCCAAATATACGTGCAATTATTTTGAACAGCTTATATGCATTTGTAATATTTGTTTTCATCGAAACTCAACATAATTGATCGAATTTGCTGATTGATTACTAATCTGATTTTTGATTGTACAATGTTATTTCATGCTCCTAATTAGGCAATTTTCTACTTTTTCCTCAAAAGAGTCATAACTGTAACATACAAAGTCGTCGGATGAGGTCTCATTAAATCACACGGTTTTTAACGTGAAGCACTACCAAAAAGGCCTAAGAGAAATGAATAATACACAGAACTATGACAGGAAAGGTCAATGGCCTAGCTTGCAAGGCGTAGTATTGATGCTTCCATCAACTCATTAAGGCGATGGGACAAATAATTCTTTGCGGTAGCATCGAATTGTCTGATTAATCATCGCGAGATGCATGTAATCTTAGTTGATACTGCTTATTAATGGGCTAAACTTATGTTTGATGGCTCATAGCTATGACAGTTTAGCTTCAAGAAAGTTTAATAGTTAGAAAGATCACATTCAAATCTATGAGATCTTTGCTCTTCATCATCACCATCACTTTTCATAAGCATTTCCGGCCTTAGTTATAAAGCGCAGTCTTGACTGATTTCGGTCTAAATCCCAGAAACGTTTTCAAGTGTGGCGGTACTTGAAAATAAAAGCGAATTCGTCCATCCCTTCCTCCTTTAGAACGACATGAAGTTGAGTAGTAACAGGTCTGTGATGTTTGGAAGTTCTCTGCGATCGGAATTGGGAATTGCAATTATTTCCCTTGAATAAGAAATTTCTAGTAAGTGTGAGTCATCAGCCCACATCAATTACTCTTTTATTTTCAAGGTAAATCTGTTAGCCACCATACGCAATGATCAAGGTAACGTAAGGAGAATTTGGCAGTATTAGCTAGGAGCCCAGTTCTCATCCAATGAATGAATTAGGTCCTGAGACGCAGATCCAACTACGAGCTTTTTAACAGCAGCAATCATGATATACACTTTGAGAGCTGGAATTACCGCAGCTGTGGCACTAGAGATGACCTCTCATAGATGGATGAGCTCAAGACTGAATCAAAATTCAATTTAAGTCTATCCTTACCTTGTAAATACAGTTGACGGTGCTAACGGATGAAATGATCGTACTCGATGTTTCATTCCCAATTCGTGGCTTATTGTACTATATTCGTTGTATATGAAATTTGTGCAAAGTAGGGTAAATCAAGAACAAGGAAGCAAACAAACAGACAACAATCAGTGTGTGAATTTGCAATTCTATGAGCAGTGAACGATGAGGACAATTTCACAGGGAATGGTGATAGTAAATAGTGAACAGTTTGAGATACTGCATAGCTCTGTATGGCGGAACTTGTCTCCTCACAATACATACATACATACATACAAACACACACACACACACACACACACACACACACACACACACACACACACACACACACACACACACACACACACACACACACACACACACACACACAC